TATATGCGCAGCTTTCCTCCTCCTCCTAATCCTGAATCTAATTGCATCGACAAATCCTGTGGACGTTTCCTTCCAAAACTACTCTCTCTTCTATGACACTACCCTGTTCCATCAAATTATTTATCTTTAGCCTAATTCACTTAAGAATATTGCTTTTTCTTTGACATGCCACCAATTTTTTAAGGCTGGAGTAAATTTTCCCATTTGCAAATCCTCCATTACCAGTTTAAAAAATCCTTCAAAGGCTCCCTTTGTTCCAAGAAAAGAACACACTTAATTTTTATTACTTACTTTTTCAGAGAGGGAGAGTGGGGAGGGGCAGAGGGAGAGAGAGAATCCCAAGCAGGCTTGATGCCCAGCATCCATCTTACAACCCTGAAATCATGAACTGAGCTGAAATCAAGACTTGGACGCTTAACTGAGCCACCAAGATCAAACCCACTTCTTTACCTGGCTTTGGGCCCTGAAGAGCCTGGCTCCTGTGCAGCTTCATCTTTCTCAGTTCTGTCTGCTCTAGTAGTACTGTGCTCCTTGCAGTCCAAACCAGAGCACTTCTGAAAGTAAAAAATGCCTATCCTTGGCAAACTGGATTGTAAATTGACCTAATCTCTCTGGCCCAGAATTTTTGCCCATATTATTTCTTTTACCTGATAAGCTCCTTTTTTCTCTTTTGCTTATCTTCTCCATATTAATTCTTCAGTTCTCCAAGGATGTCGCTTTCTTTGGAGACTTTTTAAAGATTCAGAGAGACAGAGAATGAGAGAGCACATGAGTGCGAGGGGGAGAGGGAGAGAGAGAATCTCAAGCAGACTCTGCACTGAGCATGGAGGCCGGCAGAGGACTCTAACCCAGGACCCATGAGATCATGACCTGAGCCAAAACCAAGAGTTAAACTCAACGAACTTAGCCACCCAGGCCCCTGGAGACTATTCTGACTAGGACTCTCCGTTATGAATTCTCACATGATTGATTCTTCACACCATTTTTCTCAGTTATGATTTTGTAGTATGATGGTTTCCTCTATTAGACTCTAACTCTTCAAAGTATCTGTTTTTTCCTCTATTATAATCCCCAGGCAATCACCCCTAAAGCAAGGGAGTGATTTCATTAATTTCAAGTCTGCAGGAAGCTACAGGGTGAGCTAGAGGGAAAAACAGAGAAAGTGGGGCTTATAAAAATAAAGTAGTGGAGACAAAGAAAGGGTGAAGATGACATCCAAGAGGTAAAATAAACAGTAACTAAAGGATCTGCAGGAGAGGAATAACACAGCATCAACGCACCAATTTGATACTAGTTAGTAAACTTACTTTTCTTACTCTCTGGGCACACTTAACTTTGAAATTAGAGGAAGAAGAATCTTTATATATAGTTTTCTATATATATACATATATATGTGTGTGTGTGTGTATATATATATACACACACACTTATATATAGTTGCCTCTTAGTATCACCTCTAAGAACTTTCCACTTGAAGTTTAACTTGATTCAAGAATTTATCAGCAAAAAGCCCATATAAAATGGCTATAAGCAAGGTGAATAAACCATTGGTGGATTTCTGAAAAATCCAGAAAAAAATTTCTTAACACTATCTAGAACCTAGAAATTCTGCATATCAGAAGAGGAAAGGAATTGGAGTGTCCAGCATGTATAGTTAGGAAAAAATTTCCTCAGTTACTGACTCCTGTCCCCTGTCCAACATTGGGAACCACAGATCCTGTCATATAATTTTAATGATTAAAAAAATAGAAAATGTATATTTTCATATAAGGTGATTTAGAATTTCATGGGTCCTATTTATAAAGGACTTGGTAAATTTAAGTATATTTGGAAACCCATTCCTCTGTTCAGAAAGGATCTGGGGTATGAGGACATATGTTTAGTTTCTAGGCTATTTTTTTTTTTTTTTTAAGATTTTATTTGTTTATTTGACAGAGATCACAAGTAGGCAGAGAGGCAGGCAGAGAGAGAGGGGGAAGCAGGCTCCCTGCGGAGCAGAGAGCCTGATGCAGGGCTCTATCCCAGGACCCTGGGATCATGACCTGAGCCAAAGGCAGAGGCTTAACTCACTGAGCCACCCAGGTGCCCCTCTAGGCTATTTTAATACTGTTCTGATTGTTTTAGCAGCTTCTCATACACAAATCCTCCAGGCAATAAGAACATAATTATGGAATTAAAATCCTATCTGGGCATCCAAAACGTTCATGAGAAAAGCAAGAGTTACCATTGTGTTTATGTTGAACACCCCACAATTCCAGATAAGTGGTTTTCAATCTATCTTCACCTATGGGTACCCATCAGTAACTAGTCCTAACAGAGCAAATCAGAATCAAGAACCCACAAAGTACTGCCCTAAATTTTGTAAAAATAACATGCTTTCCAAAGAATATGAAATTTCTCAAATGGGAAATAATGAAGACTTCCTGGTTGACATTAATTTTCAAGGATTTTTGCTAGTCATGTGCTGAGATTATCAACTACTGTTTTTAGTACCAACAGGAAGAAATAAAGACAGAGTTTGTCCAAACAAAGGTAAACTAAAAATTTAACTGTGCAGGCAACAAATGGTCAAACTATTTGCCTTATTATATATCTTATATATTATATATCTTGCCTTATTCATCAAATAACTTTTAAAAAATTTAACTGGCAAGATTGTTCCCATTTTCCACTTACCCTGTATTTCCCCACATTCTCAACAGTAATTCTAAAATTCTGTGGAGTCATAAAGTATATTAGGATATTACCAGAAATATAAACCTCCAAGGTTCAGTATTTTGTTACAAATTTATTAAGACTTATTTTGCAAAAAAAAAAGGGTCTATAGACTTTATGTGTAGTATATCACATCCAAATGGCAGTTTAAAAAGGTTTATGATGTGCTTTCAGAAAATATATATATGTATATATATATAAATCATACAATTCTTTTTTGTAAGATAATGATACAATGTAGTACAGATATAATTCAAGTCTTTTATTATCAGAATCATTCTTCTGATTACAAAATTCTTTATCTACAATGGTTACTGTTTTTCTGGGGCTTTTTCCTTTTACTTACCACTCTAGTAATCCAATAAAGAAATTAGTCTGAGGCACAGGAAGACCCTATTGTTAAAGCACCTTTACCCTATTTTCAAAGCATAACATTAAAAACTAGCAGTTAGTTCCTACTTTCAGGGAATTCAGAAATGGCTATTTGTTATAATCTTATTCTTCACAACCCAGCACTACAGCTCTTTAATAACTAGGAAAAAAGTAAAGGGGGGAGGCTGAGCACACATCATTTTACAAATTATGGTAGTGTTACATTTTACCACTTCATAATAAACATTTTTTTCCGAGTAGACCATGTATACTTGTTTGCCTTTCCCTACTTCCCACGGGTGAATACACTTCCATACAATGAATACATATTTGGAATTATGTTTTGAGATCTTTTCGAAGGCTTTAAATCAAACTGTTTCAACAGCTGGCGGACTAACATGACAATTTTCTACAAACGAAAAGAATTATTTTGGGAATGCAGCTACCGCATTCAAACTCGTTTGGCTTGGAAGCTGGGCCTTTGCACCAAATCCAATCACTGGCGAATATGATTAGAGAGTTTTATCATTAACCTCCAGTGAGTCAAGACTGATCAATGGACCGGGGGAAAAAAATATAAAAGAATTTTGATTTTAAAAATGCTTTCAAGAAGATTGAAGCCAGACACCACCATGCTTGAAAGGTGTTTCCTTCCACACTTATAAAGGGTTGTAACTGAGGCCCGCAGTTACAGTTATGAAAGAAACCGTCAACTAAATTGCAGCAGGTTAAACTGACACAGTTACTAACATCCCGGAGTTGCTTTTCTGTTGAGAGTCCGCACCGCACCCTCCACCCCGCCCTCCAGGAAGAGACCTGGAAAAGGTCGTAAAAGTTTTTTACTGAACCAGGCAAAGGCTATCCACAAATGAAGTGTCACAGGAGGTCAACAACTCGGTCTCTATTTTTCCACATCTCCTCAAGAGCCCCGCCCGTTCCGGGTATCAGACCCCGGAGGGAGCCCGTGTCACAGGCCGCCTAAGCGTAGGAGGCGGCCAGAGGTGACCACAGTTGCCCAACAGTTGGGTTCCCCAGGCTGCCTGGTGTGACGCACAGCCCCCTCCCCACCCCTCTGGACAGGCACTCGGACTGGTCGGAGGGAGTTATGGTTTGGGGCCTGGGCAACCAGGTTCCACGCAAGACCCTGCTCCCTCGGCTTATCCAACTTGGCCCTCCCGCGGCACCCCAGCCCAACGTAGTTTTTAGCGTTTCCCCACCCCCCGGCTTCCCCCGTAGCTTCTCAGTCTCTCAGCCGGGATGTCCTTGCGTAATCGTTCCGAGTGACAGTAGCGTCCATACCCGCACGGAGCGAGCCTGCAGCTCCCACTTCCCGGAATTCAGTACCCGGCCTCTAAGAGAGGGCGCCCGAGCAAGGATCAGCAACCCACGGTCGTGGCCAGAGTCCGGCGGCCTCCGCGCGGCCAGCGTGCGCGCTCCCATTCATACGCGTGCGCGCACTCACGCTTGGCCCGTCTCAGCACCAATAGCTTTCCTTCTACACCCCACGACTCCACAACGTAGCCCCTCCCACCGCCCGCGCGCCAGCCGGAGGTGTTTGGCGTGCGCGCGCCCGTTCGCCCGCCGGCCCGCCTCGCGCCCAGTGGGGAAGGGGAGTGAGCAGAGGTGCTTACGTCGCGCGGGAGGCGGAGGCGACGGCGACCTCGGTGGTGGCTGGCGGCGGCGGAGGCGGCTACGACGGAGACGGTTGCGCTCGCTCTCTCGGCGTCATGGCGGCTGCCGGGAGCCGATAAGCGGCGGGAGCGGGAGCGCGCGCGTGGCCGCGGCGACGACGACGGCTCGTTACTTCTCGCTTTTGCTGCCTTCGCCGTTGGTGCTTCAATAATGAATTGATTGTTGGATCCGCTCCGCAGGGGATCGCGCGTTGGTGCCGCGGCCCGGGGCTTCCCCTTCCCCTCCGCGTCCTTCCCCTTCCCCCTCCTTCTCACGGACTCCTGCTTACCCCGAGACGCCCGCAGCCCGAGGACTCACTAGCGGCAGAGACCGCGGGCCCGGGCGCGGGGGAGGCCGCCGATCGAGTCGGCTCCCTCCGCCCCGCGAAGCCTGCACGCCCGCCGGTAAGAAAAGGGGTGGCGGGCGGGTCAGGATGTGGCTGGGAGGACAGGAGCCGGCCAGGCGGAGGGCGGGGGCGGCGCGGTTCCCGGGCGGCGGCCCAGAGGCCGAGCGCCGGGCGAAGGCCGGGGCGGCTCCGTGAGGGCCGGCAGTGGCTGACGGGTTCGGAGTACAGGGGGCGTGTGAGTGGCGAGCGCAGGCCGGCGCCAAAGAGCGCATCCTCGCGCCGGACGGTCGGGCAGCGGGGCAGCCGAGCCTGGGCCTCCTCGGCTTGGGGCTGGCCGGGCCGCGAGGGGAGAGCGGCGAGGGGAGAACGGCGAGCACTTGCCGGGTGCTTTAGTCCCGCCGCGACCGGGACTCCCAGCACGTGGGGAGCGGCGGGGAGGGGGAGGGGGCGGCGGCCCGGGCGAGCCCGGGAGGGCGCGGGGCGGGTCTGCGGGAAGTTTGAGGCGGGAAGAGAGACCCCGGGACCGGGATGAAGGCCCGGAGGGGGACAGGGTTGGAGGGGGGTGGTGTGCATCTGGTTGGGAGGCTGATTGGAGCGCAGCTGCAAAGTACGGATGAGGGAGGAGGAAGGTTTCCAGCCTCCTTTCGAGTACCGCTTTGAAAACTTAGCAGGAGCGAAGCAACTGTTAAAAGACGGGCGCAGAGAAGGAAGATTCAAAGAGGTTTAGCGTCTTAGGGAAGAGTCATTGTTAGGACGCGAGAAAGGCAGGACGAGCTGCTTGCGCCTGGAGCTTCAGAACTTAAGGGTGTGAGAAGAGTCTCAGAAAAAGGACTTAGTCGGAGAAGGAAGATGAGGGGGAAAAGGAAGTTTCACTGTACGGAGAAAGCCATTTTGAGGGGCGAAAGGAGTGAAAAGGAAAGAACGAAAAGAGTTGTGAACTTTCTCGTTGAAGAGAGACTTTGGGTAAGCGGCAGTTTGTTAGGGTACCGAGATTTTTAGGACATAATTGTTTAATAGTAAAGCTCTTTGACTAGTTGGAATTAATATTTAACGTTAAGAATAAATGTTGCGTGGAATAGTTACTTTTTGGATGACCGTTTCTTGCAGTCTACTGGACTGTAGTCTCTGGAGAAATAAAATTCCGATCAAGATGCAGAGTTTACTATAATTGGGTTGGCAACAGCGTATTTTCCCCCTCTTTTTGTGGAGTGGAAATAATCGTAGGAGTAAATTCTCTTTGCTGAGGTCGGCGGACAGCTCTGCTCTCAGGCGCCTGTCTCGGTACTTTCTGGCTGGGGAAGGATCTGACGTCTCCTTCCCCCGCTTCTTCCTCTCCCTCCCCTGCCAGAGATCTCCTTTGTTTATTCGTGGATGGCTTGTAGGTGACTCTCCAGTGTTGGACTGAAATCTTGAAAGGTGGAAATGCTGTGTCTTGGCTCATGATTTCTACCCCAAGCCCATTTTTTAATTAATCCTAGTGTATATTCTATTACCTTTTTTTTTTTTTTTTTTAATGGAACCGCTGCAAGTCCACACTGGATAACTACTATTTAAATTTTATCTCTCCATTCTTGGTTTACCTGTGAAAGGAACACATTTGTTTTGACCTATACATTTTCCCCTGAAATTATATGATACACTTATATTCTGTTCTCATGTGAGCATTTTCAAACTTTCCCCCACTCAGGTATATGAAGTTCTGGGTAATAGGAATTAGTGCTTGATTAAAGGTAATTTCCCCCCTTCATTTGTTTGACCAAGTATCTGATAAGACTTCATTTTCTGTTCTTGGGATTTGTATATGTTACATACTAGCACTTTGTTTTAGTTATCTGTTTATAATGTTTATATATGTGTATTGATACACAGTTGCAGTCAGTCTAAAAGTTTTATCACTCCACATGTATTTTAATTTCTTCTGTCAAAAATAAACAATGGTACTAAATTCTAGTAAGTAGTCAGGAATGTATTTAATAGAAGCCTAAGTATTTTGAGTGAAAGACCCCTACTCCTCCCCTACCATTTCTAATTGTCCTAGGTAGATTTGTATAAGTTCTAGATAGACTTACTCATCTTTTCCTCTATAGGTAATTTTCTTACTTTCTCAATATATTTTCTTTAGGTGAATCAAAAAGGGCCCAGGAAGCCTATGAATGTTGGAGAAAATTCATCTGTGAATTTTTGATGTTTAAGGAGTTTTTTGTATTTGTATTCATCTTTTAAACTGGGAAGATTTCATATTTTATTTTAAAACTTCTTGGTATTTACAATGAATGGACACAGTGATGAAGAAAGTGTTAGAAACAGTAGTGGAGAATCAAGGTAAGCACTTTATTACAAGTATTTATTATGAAGAGAATGTAAAACTTGCATGACTCTTTAGTTTTCCTAGTAGGTGGCAGAGTTTCCAGATCAGATTCTTCCTCTGAGTTATCCAAACAGTAAAAAAAAAAATTTCTGATACATGAAGTTTTATTGATAATACAGGTTTTATTTTTTCTGTTGGGATATACAAAGATGAATTTAAATATGGAAAGTTTAGGTGACTTAAATCTCTTTGGAAGTTTATATTGTGTGGGTCAATTATTGAAACTAGACCAAATAAAAAGAGACCCTTAAATAGCTTTGACTGTTGGTGCACTCTCCAAATAAAGGCAATAAGAAGTTCTTTACTCACCTTTTTTCTGGCATTTTGTCATCTATACATTTCCTGTACAGTATAGTAGCTACTAGCCACATGTGGCTATTTAAATTTGAACTATTTAAAATTACAGAATATTCAAGATGCAATTATTCAGTCATACTGGACGCATTTCAAATGCTGAAAGCCACATGTGATTAATGGCTACCATGATCTGTAGCACAGATAGAAAACATTTCTATCACTGCAAAAGTTCTTTCAGCCAATGCCGATTGGGACGTTTGTTAGAATATTGCTGCAACCCTTTTTTCCCCTCTGCTTTTCTTTTTAAATTTCAGTTTTAATTATGTATGAATGAGTTACTTGAGCCATGTCTTTGCAAAGAAGATATAGTTAATGGGAATAAGCCATATTAAGCTATTTTAATGTGTAAGAAACCTCTTCAAATACAAAGACTCTTTAAATTCTTCTGTAGCCCCCAAATTTGAGTTACCTGCACATTGATAGAATCCATGTAGTTATATACACTTATCAGTAGAGATCAGGTGTGAACATCAGAGTCAGACCCCTTGATTACTTTTTCCCAGTTCTACTTTTTATTAGTTGTATAAATTGGGGCAGATTACCTCTGAGGTTTTGTCTTTTTCACTTATAGAATATGAATTACAGTATTATTTATCTTAAAGTTGAGAATAGTGAAGTGTTATGTGGAAGGGGCTTAAAATAGTTCTGATATAATGAGCACTCAGTATTTGCTTACTATGATTAGCATCATGTTTTAGGTACCATAGAATACTACATAACTGGAACTTTAATTATGGTGGTAGAGAAATGTGATGGACAAGAAACAGGAAAGTTTTGGTGTTGGGAGGGTTGCAGAAATAATACTGGATAGAAAAGAAAGCAGTGTTAATAGTATTTGACTTGAAACTTGGTATTTTCTGGTCATGCTAGGTGTACTTTATCAGCTTTCACAGGCGGACTGTTTGTATAACAAAAACATCATAGAGAGAAAGGAGCAATTATGGAAAGCAGCATTGTTTAGTTGAACAGGTATTGGTCTAAACATTATAAAACCTGAGCTGACGCTGCATTAACTAGTTCTCTGAACTCAACTTTAAAAAAGAATTGAACTAAATGATTTTGAAGTTTCATCTCACTACTTAATTTACAAAGTATAATAAGGTTTTAGACAATAAGAGTTGAAGAATCAACAGAGTTGAGAGGCTAAATTGGAAGAGTTTTGAATCTCATGTTTGATTCAAATCTCTACAGGTAAATTGACTATAGTAAGTGATTGTACACATTCTTTTATTTGTTAGTGAACAATGAAATGGTTAATAGGTAGAAATTTCTAGAGGAAACACAGGAACTAAACTACTCACAAACTATGAAATAAGACTCTTGAAAATAAATCCTCTAGTTGAGTATTCAGAGAGGTCATGTGCTGTTACATTCTGAGCCCTTATTTGTTCTAATAATGTTTTAAGTATTTTGCTGCCATATCTAAAAGGGAGTAGTAAGATAGATTTGGTAGTATAAGTGAAAAAAGTTAAACCCTGTGAAAACAGATGTACTTAAAGGAATCTTTTGCAACGCATACTTATTTAAAATAACTGCAAATCATATTCCCTAATTATTCTGAGTTACTATTTCTAGTATACAGGTTTTACATGTTTCTGAGAAGTGTGGTTGTCAAGTTATCTTGTTCTTGCAACTGCCTTGGTGTTTATCAGGAGGGAGACCTGCTTCTCATCTGCTTTCATTTTCTTCCTTACTGCTGTTGTGCTGTCCTTTTCCTTTGCTCCACTGTCATTGTTAACAACCCTCAGCCACCATTCTCCCCAGCCACCTCCTGCCTGCAAAAAACAAAACACTTCTAGTAACTATGAATATTGTTAGAGTGAAGAGAGGAGAAATATGCTCTGCTTTTAAACTTGATACATATTGTAAATAGTTTTTAAAGTAAAACTTGATTTTTATTGGGTAGAATTTTTAAATGGATTTTTGCTTTAGATTTTCTTTTTTCCTTTGTGGAAATTCCATTATGAAATGAAATAAAATTAAGAAGTCATTTGACATTTTTAGATGTTATAATTAGCTTTCTACTAAAAAATGGGTTTTTGATTATTTCCATGTGGAAAGCTGTCTATGACCACTGACTGAAAGGAAGAAGAATACACAGGAAGATGTCTCTTTAGCTATGCTATAACTGACAATTTTGAAACTTATTTACAAAGAAATGTGGGTCAGGATGCACCTGCACATCAGTTTAAACTCAGCACAAAGTTTATTATATAACTGAAGTTAAGCTTTCTAAAGATGTTTTTGGAAGATTTCAAAGTACTGATTCTTGGCTATGTAGATTTGAGGGAAAAAAAAAACAAACAAAAAAATCAAGTTTTCCAAATCCTGGTTATACTTTTTATTTTAAAGTTCTCTTGAATGATTTAATCCTGGAATAATTTGTGGATGAAGACCAGAAATACATAGTCACATTTTGCTACTCAGAACAATTTCTGTCCTTGCCTGCAGATTAATTTTTAATAATCTAAAATTGTACATGTAAATATAGAGTCACATTTTGCTACTCAGAACAATTTCTCTCCTTGCCTGCAGATTAATTTTTAATAATCTAAAATTGTACATGTAAATTTGATAATTTATTTGAATCACTTTAATTAGCATCTACATATGATGCTCTTGAAAAATTTTTATAGAGTGAGGGAGACTGTTAGTGATGTGCTACAATGGTCTTAACCATTGTTATGGTGAATCTGTGGCTGGCAGTTGAGCTTTAGTAACCTGATTCTTAGAATTCTTTTGTTTCATTATAGCTTTTCATAGCATTAACAATGCTTGATTTACTATTTATGTATGTTTTAAATATATATGTGTGTAAATTTTATATTTATTTTGAAGAACTCTGTCATACAAATTTCCTTGGCTTATAGAAAATATTTTTGTTAATGTTTTATAGTTCAAAAATCTTTGGATCTGAACTTTGAAAGTGTTTCTTATAAACAGTGAGTAGGAAATATGATCAGTGGAAATGTTCTAAATGAAAATCTCCTTTTATAGAAATTCAGCTTCTTTAAAAGGCTTTGAGAAGCCCCCTAGTTTAAAGGACCTGTTAAGGGGCACCTGGGTGGCTCAGTGGGTTAAGCTTCTGCCCTCGGCTCAGGTCATGATCTCCGGGTCCTGGGATCGAGCCCGGCATTTGCATCGGGCTCTCTGTTCAGCAGGGAGCCTGCTTCCCCCCTCTTCTCTCTGCCAGCCTCTCTGCCTACTTGTGATCTCTCTCTCTGTCATAAATAAATAAAATCTTTAAAAAAAAAGAATTAAAAAAAATATAAAGGACCTGTTAAATTTAATAACACCAAGTCAAAGTTAATTTGAACACAGGCCATGTTTCTTTACCATGTATTTATTTGTTAGTGTCTTGTTGAAAACTACTATGGTACACCATTTTTGATGTGTTGCATTTATGTACATTCATACCAGAAAGATTTGTTGTCATCAAAATCAGTTTTTTTTCACTAAGTAAACTTGAATGATTTTTAAAGGCTATACCAGTTAAATGGTATTTTCTGAGCTTACTTTGCAGTTATCTCAGAGTTTTAAAAAAAGTCAGTTCATTCTTAAATTTCAAATGTTTGTGCTAAGAAATATTTTAAGAAAGGCAGGAAAACATGAAATCACAAAACCAGAATGGCTAGAAATCATTCAGTTAAGGAAACTGTTTTTTTAAATTTTCCCATGATGTCATTATTTGCAGGGAAGTATGGCTCTTTTACACCATTTTCTGTTAATCCCAGTTTTTCAGCTCTATGTAATTTCTTCATTTTTTCCTATTAGTTTTTTTCTTTCCTCAAATATCCTATACAATGGTCCTAGATGATCTGACATTAAGTACCATTTCTTAACATTTTGAAAATTGAATAAACTGTTAAGCAGGAACTTTAGTAATAGGTTACTCTCTCTCCAAATACAGTTTACTGAATTAGAATTTTCATAGTATTTTCTAGGATTGTAATAAATCTAGGTTACTGTAAAGTTTTGAGACTTTCAACTGGTAAGGATAAGAGAATTGTGTATGATTTGAGGTTCAAATATATTCCTTTTATCTGCATAGGCATGAGGTAATGTGGAGGCAAATGTTAATGTGTAATTGTCCCTTTTTTATACTACTAAGGTAGTTGCTCATTTAAGATCATGGTGATGGGTTACATTTGGTATGGTTCTGTTTTTAAAAATAAGAGTATTGGGGTGCCTGAGTGGCTCAGTGGGTTGAGCCTCTGCCTTCAGCGCAGGTCATGATCTCAGGGTCCTGGGATCAAGCCCCGCATCAGGCTCTCTGCTCAGCGGGGAGCCTGCTTCCCCCTCTCTCTCTGCCTACTGCTCTGCCTGTTATCTCTCTCTCTCTCTGTCAAATGAATAAATAAAATATTTTTAAAAATAAAAAAATAAAAATAAGAGTATTTCTTTGCAGGGAAGAGGTCAAGAATAAATAGAAAAACTATCTTTTTTACAGAAAATTTTAAAAAAGTGCATAAATAGAAAAGTTAAAGTACCAGTTATGGTCCTTGGATCAATAACATTGGCATCAACTGTGAATTTGTTGGAAATGTACAACCTTGGGCCCCAACCCTGTCCCCCTGAATCAGAATCTTCATTTTAA